GAATTGAATTGAATTGAAATCTTGCTCCCGCCTCTCTCAAAGGGCCCAGCCTGACTAGGTTTTCCCCTGTGAAGCAACTCTGAAAGTTTACTAAACTTACTCTGAGGTTCAAATATTAGCACTAATGCTCATATTAGCATACAATATTTATGAGCATATTAACAAAATAATAAGACTGTTATTTTAGCATGCTAGCCCTGCCTCACCTGTCTGCCCTGCCCGCTGGGGGAGGAGGATGAAGTGACCCTCTCTCCTCTAACCTCTGAGGTTTGAAATTATTCAGTTTAGTTTCTAAGAGGAAAAGAAACATTCCATATTTTATTATGAAATTTAAACTTGCTTCTGTCTCGAGAGGAAATGAAACACACTTGCCTTTATTTTGAAATCTGAAAATACCAACAGTAAAATCACAAACAGAGAGTTGAATAAAATCATTTTATTGATATCTGATAATAACTCTGAATTCATGGATCATCTCAGTGTAACTGCAAGTCATTTATTACTTTTGAACTTCCTGTCAGCGGCGTCCACGAAGCAAACATCAGAAACTGTTTACAAAGCTGTACACGTGTGACATCATCAGGTTTACAGATCAGCTGATTCGTGATGTCACCGACAGGCGACAGGAGCTACACAATAGCTGTATCTGCTTGTCTCCAGGAGCGTTGTCACGGCAACCGAAACCTCCATAACAAACAACTTTGTGTACGTATAAACGTGTTTGTTCTCAGCGTTGCCTCCGGGGGGCACCACGCTGAAGCCTTTTGATGAATGTGTCACTTTTAAACTGAAGCTCAAATGTTGATAGAAATGTTTCAATATTACGACAAAAATTTGACTTTTAATTCCAAATATTGACTTTGGGGATAAATTCAATTCAGTTCATCCTGCAGACTGTACCTCCCTAAATATCATAAATAATATTTATAAAACTTCCCATCTTAAAATCTCAAAATTATTAATATCATAACTTCTGCTGTTGATGAATTTTATTGTTTAATTCCTGACAAAGAAAAAATAAATTCAGTTCAATTTGAATTTTCTGCATCAAACTAAAATATATTCTATTTATGTAAATGTTTAAATTACCTGTTTATACTGTAAGTTCATCAAATATGAAACCCTAACCCTAACCCTGATTTTACACGTGAAATATCAGAAAATGATTTATCAGGTGAAACAGTTGAGTTTTCATCCTTTCAAGGGAAACTACAACAAATTAAAATCTTATTTTAAAACTGAACCAAAGTTGTTTTACATTGAATCATATTTGGCATAAAAGCTGGAATTTAATTTGGACATTTAAACTGAATAATAATCAGAAACGTGAATATTTAATATCACTTGTCCATTTATTTTATATTTATTTAAGATTAATTTATGACACCAATAATTTAATATCCAGAATCCAGATTTTAATTTATATTAAGAGTCAGATTTGTGATAAATGTTTTTATCTTGAATTGACATAAAATCACAGCTTTATAAGTTAAACAGTAAAATGAAGCTGAAGAACGATTTTAATCTTATATATTTTTAATTAATATATAAACTGGCTTCAGTCTGGAGAAGAAAAGAAATGTTCCTGCTTTTATTTTGACATCTGTAGCAGAGGAGAGATCAATAACTCTATTTCTATATTTGTATCTATATTTACCATTGAATGTTTTCCCTTTTGATTATTCACAGTTAATTTAATTTCATTTCATTGTGACCTGAGTATCCTGAGGACTAAAATGTTGACTTTACTTTTAAATGTTTTTAATTTGAATTGTGTAATAATACTTTTGTATGGAGACAGTATGCTAACACACATTAGCTTGTTATTAACAGAAGTAACTTTGAACCATCAGAAAAGATAATAAAAAACTTGCCAACTAGCTTATGTTAGCATAACTTCCTGTTGTTGAGAATAGTTTGGTAACATTTATTCATTAAAAACGTAATAATGTGGCTTCAGTTTAATCAGTGAGTTCTTTAATTGACCATTACTAAGCCCCACCCCTCTGTCAACTTCCTCCTTTGATGTACATCCTTTACGTAGATATGCTATATGCTAGGCTAATCTGTGTTAATACAAACAAGCTATCGAGCTAATTAGCTAGTTACGTAGCATAAAGAATAAACTACTGGTTAACTTGTTAGCTCATTGTTTACTAAACAGAAGCTACGGAACAAAACACTGGCTAACTAGCTAGCTAATCTACATCAATTGTTAGCTACATCTGGTTGCTAATGTTGGGGAAATGCTAGCTAACATTTAATGTAGATTAATTAGCTAGTGTTTTGCTAACATTAAGTTAACATTAACTTAAGATGTGACTCTATATATATATATATATA